AAATTAAGCCGAAAATGCTAGTATTTGTGAATAGTTGGGCTATTGCTAGAGACCCTGAGTGTTGGGAAAACCCTCACGAATTCTATCCTGAGAGATTTCTAGATAACAAGGTTGACTATAAAGGACAAGATTTCGAATTCATTCCATTTGGAGGTGGCAGGAGAGTTTGTCCCGGGATAGCACTAGGGGTTGCATCAGCGGAGCTTGCACTCGCTAATCTTCTTTATGCGTTTGATTGGGAACTTCCTTCTTGGCTGAAGAAAGAAGACATTGACACCAACGTTTCGCCCGGAATTACAATGCATAAGAAGATCCCTTTGTGCCTTGTTGCCAAAAAGGTGTGATTTGTGCTCAATTTTGGATCAACATTAAATTGATCCATGAATATCTCTACTTGACTTAATTGCCAAATGCTAGTTACTTTTGTATGTCGCTTACCCATGCTTTGATATGCTACTATACGTTCTTGAAGTTTCGAAGATAGTATGAAACTTAATTGTGTAATAAATACCAGGCAATACTATTTTCTGCAGTTTCTCTCCACTCTATTATCTTCCTATTATCCCTGTATTATTCTAAACGCGCAACTGCGTTAACATTATTCCTGAGAACTAGTTAAAGAAGTTTAAATTTACAACAAAAAAAAATGATAGTCCGTAATAAATATTTGAAATGATGATTGGTACAAAATATATACATGGTAGAAATATGTTCAGAACAGGAAGATAATACGCATACTAGAGACAAACGAAATAAAAGTTGACGTGACGTGACGTGACGTGAGTGGATGCTACAAATACACACGTTATGGAATTGTGGATACTGATGCACATCACGCCACTGTCCTACCCGCCGGCCATTTTCAGTACCACTCAGAATGATGGCAAATTGTATAGTTCACATTGCGGTCCATAGGAGTGAGTATTTTGATTTGGGTTATTTGAAGTGAATTGAATCCACATTTCACTTTTGGTTTATTATTAAAAATCAATAAGTTTTATATTTTATAAATCGAATAGTTTCGATTAATTCAATTAAAAGATCAAACAAAATTTAAAAATCAATCAGTTTATATATATATATATATATATATATATATATATATATATATATATATACATACTAAATAATCTTCAATTCCCTAATCTAAAATTTCACAATTGTTCTTTATTATGAAATATTATCTACGAGCCGTCGATTATGTGAGACGTTGTTGTAGAACGCCAAATGCATGTGAAGAGGTTGGTTCGGTTTGGACTTATTTTGAATTAAGAAATTTAAAATATATATTTTTTACTTGTTTAGATTTTGAAATTTAAAGTATTAATGAAAATAAATAAATAATTATGTACATGAGAACTAGAGAATGTCTGAATTCTTAAATCAAACCGATCCCAACCGAGCTGAAACCGAAATCTTTCAAATCGAAAAAAAAAAATTGAAATTGAATGGTTTCATTTTTTAAAACCTGAAGTGCCCACCCCTAGCTATCCACATTACAATGTAAACCACAGATAAATGTTCATTTTTAGTATATTGAATTTCATTTTCAATGTACTAAATGTTTATTTTATTTTATTTTTTTTTACAAAGGAAGGGGGATACCCATACAATCAATCTATGCCTACATCGAGGCTCGAAACCTAGCCCTCCCACATAGGGAAGCCATCCGATACCAGTGGACCACAAGCCACTTACTGAATGTTTATTTTTTGATATGTATTAATTATGCTTTAAAATAGACATTTAATACATAAAAAAGAAACCTTTAAAAAATGAGTATTCAATATACTAAAAATGAACATTTAATATACTAGTAATGAACCTAATGTGACTATGTCCAATGGTATAATGATTGTCAAAGGACGGCATTGGCCTACGTACGTTTTAGTTTCTTTGTCCATGCAACGCTATACACATTCCTCCAATACGAACATTATATTTACACTAATCATTATTTTCTCTGCATCCTTATAACTTTAACTCAGTAAATAAAAAAAAAATCTAACTTTCACATCACTTTTTACAAAATATTAAACAAAAAAATTAATTATGGACTCTCACTTGCCAATTAGGAAAAAACTAAGGCCAATTATAATGTTATAGATCCTGGTCAAAAACTATGCCATACCGTGAATTTTTTTAAACGGTGCATTTAGTGGCACTATTTTTTGTGCAACCATAAACAACTTTGGTATAATACGTGCATAATTTGTTAATTATAAATTCATTCATAAAATTAATACCTTAAATTCATAATAAAAATTTATTAATTTTCAACCAAATATCTCTTAATATTATACTATAATAATCATAATTAAATGTAAAAATAATTATTTAAAACTATATATATTTAAATGTAAACTAAATACAATCACATAATTGTACTAATATACAAGAAATAAGACTACTAAGCCAATACAACAAGTTTAAAAGCTATATGTGTAATACTACACCATAAACTAAATAAATCATTAACTTCATAATATATTGACATGCTCAATTTATGATCGTATAACTTTTTGTTTATTCACCTACAGTTCACATATTGGAGGTGTTTAGTAAATAACTCTTAGCTGATTGAGTTAGTGGGCTTGACTAGTTAATAACATTAGTTGATTATAGAAATATGTATGTTTGGTAATAAATTAGCTGTTAGCAGATAGCTGATTACATACAAAATGACTTTTTCAAAAAGATTATCGAAAAAGTTACTTTGAACAGCTTTTTGAATTTGTTTTGAAGCAATAAATTGTTACTAAAAAACTAATTAATCAAACACTCAAATAGACTGATTTTCGCAGACTCAAGTCTAAAAACCCTTGCTAGTCAGCACTAACAACCATTTTATTTGAATAAATATGTTTTCAGTAACAATAAATTTTCAGGGCTTATTAGCTCAGTTGGTTAGAGCGCCGTGCTAATAACGCGAAGGTCGTAGGTTCGAGACCTGCATGGGCCATTATTTGTATTATTTTACGGCGTACACACTTTATTACACAAGGTTCAGGTACGAAAGAAGGCCAAACACAAACAGGCCAAGAAGTGCAATCAAAATAAAGTACATAGGATGAAGCGGCAATTCACTCCCAATGATTTGTGAAGAATTCAAGTCGAATCTCGTGCTCTCCACATGAGTGTTTATAGCACAGATTTGGATATACTGCTAATCACAAAAATCCGGCATAATATAATGCACGTCCATCAACAAGGTTTGATACAAAACAAATTGTGATGGCACCAATTAACAACGCAACCCCAAAAAGGTTAGCTAGCTAGTCATGTTGTTTCCTTGCACAAGATTGCTCGGAGAGATACCTATCTCAGAATTCGCTTTAGTTACAAATATGCACGATGTATAGTTCCTAACTCTACTATTAAGTCACTGCCAATGAAAGCTGCTAAATTGGTAAGCTTGAGGCTAGGACCCCTCTAAGCGGGAGTCACTGGGAATGTAGGTCCTTAATTGGTGTATCATGTTTATCGGCTCGGGTGGAAGCGCTCCCTTTGTCAGATTTTGATTGAGGTCCATTCGGGAGTTCAGGTGAGTCCTCAGGTCAGAGTTGTTGTCTTCAGCTTCTGGCTCAGTTCGTTAAAGAAATCTAAATATGGGTATATGTTGGAGATTGGTAGAAACACAATGAGCGGCTTGCTATGTACCGTTCCTCACGAACGGCACCAAAATGATGTAGTAAATACGGTAAGTCCTACAAATACGTAAAGTACTAATATGGTAAATCTTACAGGGTCTACAAATACGTAGCGTGTACGGTGTGATCGTGGACCGATCTGCTTGATGGTTTAAAAATTTATGATCGGGTAATGATGTGAGGCCAGAGGTTCCTGAGCTTGATAAGGCTAGATAGAAAAATCCTCCAAAAAGTCTTCAATTCCCCTGCACTAAATGCGCTATTTATAGGGGAGTTGGGGGAACACATGCCAAAAAGCTCGACATGTGTGACGCGTGCTCTTCATGCAGAGGTGCAGGTTGGAGGCCTTGCGGATTTCTCCACTTGCTCGAAGATTCTTGAAGTCATCACTTTTACCGCCGTCGGATTAAGCTACTGTGATTGCTGACCAATTCTCGAAGTGGGGGGAGGTCGAGGTGCTTACCTCCTTCCCGACCTAAGTAGGTCGGAGAAAGGATCTGAGTTCCAGGAATAAAGGCAACTTACTTATCCCTGGTCGGCACTTTATTGGAGGTTGGGCCGAGTCGTTCTAGGTCGGTTGGTGGTCAAGAATGATTACCCTCAGCGACCCACCCGTATGCCGAGTAGGCATATGATATGGTCAAGTACAGGTCTGGGCGTATATTCCATATCAATATAGTGTGTGTGTGTGTGTGTGTGAGTGTGCGCATTTAATTCGCGTTCGCACACACTTAATCTAATCTAGACTATTAAAAAATATTATATGGATGCACACTATTTGTTCTCACCTTGTTTAAGATCCACATAGAAATGCAAATGATTCCTTCTTCCCTTTGTTTATTTATTTATTTAGGGTTGAAGTTGATATATATAGAGATGAAGATCTCCATTTCTGCGTGGAGCTTAATAAGGTGAAGAAGGAAGAATCATCCCAAATGGGATGAAGGATGAGAAATTATCATTAGGACTATATTTCTAACAGTCAACTAACAGAATTTTTAACAAAGGATTAAATTGTGTAAAATCATCAAAGTCGATGATTAAATTAAACACAAAAAATCATTTAAAACTAAATTAAGTAAAATCACTATAATTGAAGACTATATTAGATATTAACTCATATAAGAAATTACTAAACAAAGTTTACTTAATATACATTATTAATAATATTTCTGAGTTTCTCTCCTCAAACGAATAAAATAAATTAAAAAACCACCGCCACAAAAGTGTTGTATCCCTTTCTAAATTTATAAATAATAAGTATTATTAGCAGCCATCAATTCAAGAAGATCAAAGTGGTTTCCTCAACCACCCACAATATAATTGCTGTCAATCTGGCACTATACGACCATGCAAAGTATCCGAGTCAGCAGTCTGTTGAAGCCAGAAGCTGCCACCCAAACCCATATTTCTGAAAGGCACATCGCTTAAGTTTGATTCTCGATCAAAATATAATCCAATTCTGGGAGAGTGGGAGGCGACAAAAAAGATAATATTTCATACATTCTGACAGCTTAATATTTATGAAAACAAAATTTGTCATCTTTTCAGCAACCAATACATAAGCTGATAAGCCGCCATCATAGATGAGCTATATATGTGTCCTTTAAGGTGATGACCAATAGTCCAATACGCAATAGCCTTAGCTTCATTCTTTGTGTTAGTTTTTTATGCAAAAATGCTTCCGCAACTACTCTTTCTTCTACCTATTGCACTTATTTTCATTACTAATTATATTATTCTTCCTACTATTAGGAAGTCCAATAATTATGCACCAGGTCCTCCGGGGCTGCCAATCATTGGGAACTTGCATCAACTTGATAGCACAGCGCCCCATGTCTTCCTTTGGAAACTTTCTAAGAAATATGGTCCCCTGATGAGCATGAAACTTGGTTACAGAGAAGTTGTAGTGATTTCCTCAGCGAGAATGGCGAAAGAGGCCTTAAAGACACACGACTTGGCGTTTTCTAGTAGGCCTTTATTTATAGGCCGGCAGAGGTTATCCTACAACGGCTTAGAAATTGCGTTTACGCCTTATGGAGACTACTGGAGAGAGATAAGAAAGATTTCTGTTCTTCATCTGTTTAGCCTCAAGAGAGTGAAGCAGTTTCAACCAATTCGGGAAGATGAAGTCTCTCGGATGATGAATCGGATATCTGAGCTTGCCTTGTCGTCTCAGCTAGTGAATCTAAGCGAGATGGCCATGTCTCTAACTTGCAACATAATTTGTAGGTCTGCTTTTGGGAAGAGTTATGATGAGGAAAGACCAGGGAAGTGGGGGTTTCACAAACTTCTGGTTGAATCTCAGGCAATGATGGTGGGAGGCTCCTTAATTGCAGATTTTTTGCCATCTTTTGGTTGGTTAGATAAACTCATTGGAAATTCTGCAAGACTTGAGAGAGTTTTCAAGGAGCAAGATTCGTTTTATCAAGAACTCATTGATCAACATCTTGATCCAAACAGGCCAAAATCAATGGATGGTGATATACTTGATGTTTTAATCAGTTTGAAGATACGAAAAGGACATGCTTACGTTTACTGGCCGCAGCCACAATCTGACTGAAGTAGAAGCTAAGGAACTTCACGTTATGAGGTATAATGTGCAACACTGAAAAGAGAAAGAGATAGACAGCGAAGAAAGGACACGGCCATATGTCCCCGAGGGAAGCGGCCATGTTTGTGAAGACGATGGGGTACCCCTCAACGACAAAAATATACATTTTGCAGGGCAAATTTATGGTAACAACAACATGGATGCATTCCGATTAGAATACCTCTACGTGTTTTCACACTCAACACTCGCAACAGATGAGGAGTTGGAATCTTTCAAGCCATATTAGAAATCAACATAATCTAGAAATACGTAAAAGAAATTGAATTTTTCTGCAGAAAAAAAAAAGTGAAAAAAAAACCGCAAGTTAGATAAAAAAAAATAACATGTCAGCATTGATGTGGATAATTACCCAGAGTGCATACCGTATGTATAAAGCAAGTACGAGAATCGTAGAATAATAACAAAGGAAAGAAGACATAAATGTAGCTCAAGGGTGCCTTTTATTCATTGTATAATTTGGAGAGCTTGTAGAGAGAGTTGAGAGGCTTCTAAGTGTAGAGAGATGGAGGAGAGAGAAGGACCCCCTAAAATGGAGGGTCAATGTCGCTTATATAGGCCCAAAGGTTGGCCTGCTAACTTTGACCCGAACCGTTTGGCCCCGACCAAAACAGGAGCACGGAGTGTACACGTGGACGGCGCTGAATGGTTCTCACTTCTCTCCTGGAGAAAACTAAGAACAAATCACTATGGTTTCAAGTTTGGTCAAGGAAATGGGTATTGAGCAAGGTCGAGTTCAATTGCTTTGTGATAGTCAAAATGTCATCTATTTGGCTAGCTAAGAACCAAGTTTACCATTCTAAGACTAAGCATATTGATGTGAGGTTCCACAAGATTAGAGAGTTAGTTGCTTCCGAAGAGATATATATAGTTGCAAAAAGTTCTTACTAGTGATAATGTAATTGACATATTGATGAATTGAAGATAATGACTACTAACAAGTTCAATCATTGGTTGAACTTGTTGGGTGTTTCTAGTTGCATTGCTAGATGAGCATAACTACCCCGACCCATAGGTGTGCTAAATATTGCAAGTTTATTTCCTAAGGGCATATTCAACAAGGTGCAAATTAAGGATCTTGTGTTCCAGTGACACGAAGTTGCTCCTTTATATGGGAGGTTGTGGGATCGAGCCTCAGTGGAGGCGATATTGGCTCTTTATGCTTCAATAGTTTGAGAAACTAGTTATGAACTAGTATTAAAAAAAATAAAGGCATATTCTACAAGGTTGAGATCTATTGTATAGTGTAGCTTGAATATGACATGTGAAGTATCATGTGTTGAAGTGTAGTGGATGGTAGTTACGTTAGTGAAGCAAAGATCTATTGTATATATATGTTGAAGTGTAGTGGATGGTAGTTACGTATATATGTTGAAGTGTAGTGGATGGGTGTAGCTTGAATATGACAAGTGTAGTGGATGCTAGTTACGTTAGTGAAGCAAAGTCGAACAGGTAGTTTTGTAAATGTACAGTTAAACTCTTTGTTTACGTTTTCTGTTCTTAATTGATTTCATTTTACTCAAGAAATGATATCGAATGCAATTGGACAATTATTAGACATGTAATATTTGTACCAGCATAGAAGGTTTTGTGGGTTTTTTGCTTGATGGGGAGGAGGGAGGAAGTGAGGTAGTGAAGGGAAGAGATGAGATGAGAGATCAAAAACTTAATTTGTAGGAATCAAGTTTTTGTGGGACCCATCACAAAAAAAAAAAAAAAAAAAAAAAAAAAAAAAAAACCCTCAATGCGTGTTCTACCTAGTGCATACCATGCGCGTGTACACACCATCTGAACGTGTTAAGAAGCATTTTTTTAACTGACACAACTTTCTTTTTTTTTTTTTTCTTTTTTTTTTCCCCTCTTTTCTCTCCCACTCTCTTTCTTCTAGATGGCAAAAAAAATAAAAAATAAAAATTTAACAAAATCATGAACGGATGAAAATGTTCCTATATTACTTCCTTAGCTTCTAGATAGCAAAATAAATAAATAAAATAAAAAATAAAAATAAAAAAATAATCAAACAAAAATCATAAACTGATGGAGATGCTCTTATATTACTTTCTCCCCGATAGCAAAAAAAAATAAAAAATAAAAAATCTAATAAAAATCATGAACTTATGGAGATGCTCCTATATTACTTTCTCCTAGATGGCAAAAAAAATATCTAACAGAAATCATAAACGAATGGAGATGCTCTTATATTACTTTCTCCTAGATGGCAAAAGAAATATCTAACAGAAATCATAAATGGAGGGAAATGCTCTTATATTACTTTCTCCTAGATTATGGCAAAAAAAAAATATCTAATAAAAATCATGAAGTTATGGAGATGCTCCTATATTACTTTCTCATGGCAAAAAATATATCTAACAGAAATCATAAACAGATGGAGATGCTCTTATATCACTTTCTCCTAGATGGCAAAAAAAAAATCTAATAAAAATCATGAACTTATGGAGATGCTCTTATATTACTTTCTCCTAGATGGCAAAAAAAATATCTAACAAAAATCATAAACGAATGGAGATGCTCTTATATTACTTTTTCCTAGATGGCAAAAAAAAATATCTAACAGAAATCATAACGGATGGAGATGCTCTTATATTACTTTTCCTAGATGGCAAAAAAAATATCTAACAGAAATCATAAACGGATGGAGATGCTCTTATATTACTTTCTTCCCCATAGTCATAAAAAAATCTAATAAAAATCATGAACTGATGAAGATGCTCTTATATTACTTTCTCCTAGATAGCAAAAAAATATCTAACAAAAATCATGAACCAATGGAGATGCTCTTATATTACTTTCTCCTAGATGACAAGGAAAAAAAAATTCTAACAAAAATCATGTACAGATGGGGATGGTCTTGTTTATATTACTTCCCAAGTGGGTGTCAAATGGTTTAATTTGTCTTTGGATTTTAGATGAAGCAAAAATGGCTTTACATCTTTTTCTTCTACCTGCTGCTCTTATTTTGATTTATTATTATATTCTTCTTCCTACTTGCAAACGTATTGGGAAGCCACAAACTTCTCTTCCAAGTCCTCCAGGCCTTCCAATCATTGGGAACTTGCATCAACTTAATAGTGCAGCGCCCCATGTCTTCCTGTGGAAACTTTCAAAGAAATATGGCCCCTTGATGCGCATCAAACTTGGTTACAGACAAGTTGTAGTAATTTCCTCAGCGAGAATGGCGAAAGAGGCCTTAAAGACACACGACTTGGTGTTTTCTAGTCGGCCTTCATATATAGGCCGGCAGACATTATCCTACAACGGCTTAGATATTGCGTTTACGCCTTATGGAGACTATTGGAGAGAGATAAGAAAGATTTCTGTTCTTCATCTCTTTAGCCTCAAAAGAGTAAAGCAGTTTCAACCAATCCGGGAAGATGAAGTCTCTCAGATGATGAATCGCATATCCGAGCTTGCCTTGTCGTCTCAACTAGTAAATTTAAGCGAGATAGTCATGTCTCTAACTTGTAACATAATTTGTAGGTCTGCTTTTGGGAAGAGTTATGATGAGGAAAGGCAAGGGAAGTGGGGTTTCACAAACTTCTGGCTGAATCTCAAGCAATGATGGTGGGAGGCTCCTTAATTGCAGATTTTTTGCCATCTTTTGGTTGGTTAGATAAACTCATTGGCAACTCTGCAAGACTTGAGAGAGTTTTCAAGGAGCAGGATTCGTTATATCAAGAACTCATTGATCAACATCTTGATCCAAACAGGCCAAAATCAATGGATGGTGATATACTTGATGTTTTAATCAGTTTGAAGATGGAGAATTCATCTTCAGTCAATCTCACTTGGATCACATTAAAGCGGTGTTAATGGTAAGTTTTGATGTTTTATTTCTTAATTTCCTTTGTCTGTTTGAGTTTCTATCTTTTACATTATATTTTCATTTCTTCCTTAAATTTGTCATATCTCTTAAACTCCAGATTGTTTTTGTTGCCGGATCAGACACAAGTGCAGCTCTAATAGTCTGGGCCATGACGGCTCTAATGAAAGAACCTAGGATAATGAATATAGTGCAATCAGAAATAAGGGACCGTGTAGGGAAGAAAGGTAGAATAAATGAAGAAGACATTCAAGAATTACCATATTTTAAAGCCGTTGTAAAAGAAACCTTGAGGTTATATCCACCCGTTCCCATCCTAGTTGAACGAGAAACCCTCTCAAATTGCACCATTGATGGATATGAAATTAAGCCGAAAATGCTAGTATTTGTGAATAGTTGGGCTATTGCTAGAGACCCTGAGTGTTGGGAAAACCCTCACGAATTCTATCCTGAGAGATTTCTAGATAACAAGGTTGACTATAAAGGACAAGATTTCGAATTCATTCCATTTGGAGGTGGCAGGAGAGTTTGTCCCGGGATAGCACTAGGGGTTGCATCAGCGGAGCTTGCACTCGCTAATCTTCTTTATGCGTTTGATTGGGAACTTCCTTCTTGGCTGAAGAAAGAAGACATTGACACCAACGTTTCGCCCGGAATTACAATGCATAAGAAGATCCCTTTGTGCCTTGTTGCCAAAAAGGTGTGATTTGTGCTCAATTTTGGATCAACATTAAATTGATCCATGAATATCTCTACTTGACTTAATTGCCAAATGCTAGTTACTTTTGTATGTCGCTTACCCATGCTTTGATATGCTACTATACGTTCTTGAAGTTTCGAAGATAGTATGAAACTTAATTGTGTAATAAATACCAGGCAATACTATTTTCTGCAGTTTCTCTCCACTCTATTATCTTCCTATTATCCCTGTATTATTCTAAACGCGCAACTGCGTTAACATTATTCCTGAGAACTAGTTAAAGAAGTTTAAATTTACAACAAAAAAAAATGATAGTCCGTAATAAATATTTGAAATGATGATTGGTACAAAATATATACATGGTAGAAATATGTTCAGAACAGGAAGATAATACGCATACTAGAGACAAAC